TTCTTCACTACAATTATAACAGCTATATCAGAGCTCTAGTGACCAGGTAATACCCTCTGTTACTTCTATAGCAGCACCATACCCCTATTACAGAGATATCCTATAATATAGATATCTGTGATCTATTAAATCTAATTACCTTCTAAGGCTATAAATATATAGCCACTTTTATTAATGTTGTAACAAGATACGCGAAAATAGTCTTACTTAAGACTAAGGACAACGTTTTTGACGAATTTAAGAAGTTTGTTAACTAAGAGGAAACCCAGTCAGGCTTAAAACTTAAGAGGCTCTATTCTGACAATAAATTAAAGTACAAGAATGCTAAATTTCATTAGTTTTTGACTAAAAGAGGAGCTATAGCTACTTATGCAGCTCCCTATATCTATGAATAGAACAGATTAGCAGAAATCTTTAACCGGACACTTCTAAACAAGGTTAGAGCCTTGTTAATTCAAGCCGGGTTACCTAAATCCTACTAGGCAAAGGCTATTATAGCGGCTACTTTCATCTACAATATAACCCCTTATTCAGCAAAGAACTTTGTTACACCTTATAAGCTTAAGTTTAAGCAGAAGCTAGACATTTCTTTGTTAAAGATATAGGGCTTAATTACTTATAGAAAGGACTATCTTGCAAAGAAGCTAGATCCTAAAGCTATTGCGGGGGTGCTTGTTAGTTATAGGTCAAATTAATAGTGAATCCTTAACCTTTAAACAAAGAAGATTACGTAGGCTCGCGATGTTATTATAAAAGAAGGTCACTTTTACAACGATAAGGACGAGAGAAGTACTACTTCTAATCAGCTATTGCTTGAACCAAGCTCTAGCGAGACAGTAGAGCTAGTAATAAACTCTACTAAAACCAACATTTCAGAGGATACTAAGTCTATCCCTTAGCAGTTTTATAACAAGTTGATAAAGGCCGCCAGCGCCTATAACACTAACGTTATAACTGATCCTACCACTTATAACGAAGCTCTTAAGGGTCCTAATGGCTCTGATTAGCAGAAAGCTATAAAATAAGAGATGTCTAAGCTTGAAGACTAGAAGACTTAGACCTTAATAAAGCTGCCCTTTAATAGGAAGGCGCTAAAAGGTTACTAGGTCTACAAGACTAAGACGGATCTATATAGCGTTATTTAACGCTATAAAGCTTATTATATAGTTAAAGGATATCTTTAGAAATTTAGGATTAATTATATAGATACTTTTGCTAATATAGTTAGACCTAGTATCTATAAAGCCTTGTTTTATCTTATAGCTAAAAAGGACTAGGAAATACACTAATAGGATGTCAAGTCTGTATTTAATACGGCTATTATTAATAAAGAAATCTATGTTAAATAACTAACTAGTTTTAAGAAGAACAAGGACTAGCATCTTGTTTACAAACTTAACAAATCCCTTTATAGTCTTAAATAGTTAGCTCATAATTAGCAGCAGTATCTAGTAGCAGAGTTTTAATAAATTATCTTTAGCTAACTGCCTACTAATCTATTAATCTTTACCTTTAATAATATAATTATTATTACTTATATTAATAATATAATTGTCTTTAGCGAGAATACAGCTATTATAGTTGAAGAGCTAAACTTAGAGCTAAAATAGAGCTCACAGATCTTGATATAGCTAAAGTCTTTGTAGGCATTAAGATTATTAGGGACCGTCCTAAGAGAAGCATTATTTTCTCTTAACAGGGTTATACAGGCAAGCTACTTAATAAGTTTGCTAAAGGAATTCCTGTTAAGCCTAACCTGTACGCTTAAGGAGTTCGTCTTTAACCGAATAAAGAGAAGGCAACCCCTAAAGATATACAGCTGTTTTAATAGCAAATTAGGTTATTAATGTATCTAATAATCGCAACTCGCCTAGACTTGGCCTTTCCTATAAGTTAACTTGCCTGTTACATAGGAAATCCTTATAGTACTTATTTCAGAGCCCTTTAACAAGTTTAGGGGTATCTCTAGGGTACTAGAGATCTTAGCCTCACTTATAAATCTGATTCCTAAACCCCTATTTTGAGAGGTTATATAGACTTAGATTAGGGGGGGGACATTAGCATGTAGAGATCAACTACTAGTTATTTATTCTTAGTTGGAAATACTACTATTTCTTAGAAATCTCGACTCTAGAAGACGGTTATATTATTCTCTTACGAAGCCGAATATATAGTACTTAAAGATGTTATTAAGGAATAACTCTGATTAAGATCTATGTTCAAACATCTACTAATCTTGATCGGAATCGACTCTAAAGAGCTATTTACTAATAGCGAGTCTGCTAAGTCTTTAGCTAAGAATCTTGTTTACTATAATAGAACTAAGCATATTAATATTCAGTATCATTTTATTAGAGAGTCGGTTATAAAAGGGCAAACTAATCTTCTATTTATTCGTTTAGAGCAACAGCTAACAGATGATCTAACAAAGGCTGTCTCTAACGAAGCATGGTCTACTCTTACTAACGGTTTGGGCCTTTAAGAACTCAAGCTATAATATAGCTTACAGGGGTGTGTGAAAACTAAGCTACGTCATAGCTTGGTTGGTGGCCAAGTCCCCTGAGGGCTAAGCCCCCAAAAGGCTAAGTGGCAAGAAGTCCGTCCCTAAGGGCTCTGTGTCACACAAGTTGCCGCAGCCAAGCGCTCTAGTTAAAGCTTGGCATCAGGAACAACTGGAACATGGATGGAACTTAACCAAAGTTCACATAAGTAAACATGTTGGTATAAGGGCATTGTGCAACGGTTTTGTTACATATGAACACTCATCTATGTTCCGGCTAACATTGAACAGTCTTATAGCTGTTTAGAGCTTCTTCATGCTCCATAGCAGTAGTCTATATAACAGACAAGATGCTCCCTAGATAGTTAGATGAAGCAAGCAATTCAACTATATTAGTAAGACACTTCTACTCTATTGATACTTGACTACTCTTAGTTGACTTCTATTTACTTCCGCTATTCTTACCTTTTCACATATTAAATTATATTTTATTAAGTATTTAATATAAGTCTTAAATTATAACTTTTATAAACGTAATATTACGTTTTATATATAAATACTTACTTGTAACATATTAATTTGTCTCTATTATATTATTTAAGAAGATAACTACTTAAAAGAGATTTAACTATACTATATAACTAAATATACATAATTTACTAATATACAAATATTTCTTGTATTATAATATAAAAAATAAAGTATATTAGTTCTTTTAAGACTAGACTAAATAAATAGATGTACCTAATTAACTATATACATTACTATATATATTTGATTATATTTTAATATTCTTATTTAGATATTTAATTTGTTAGGAGCGCATACTAGTCAAGACGAATCAAGACTAGGATGGGTTCAGGTAGGTTTGGTTGGTAGAGCAGGGGGCAAAGTATACAGTATAGGAATGTCTTCAACTTAGGTATGAGCTGATAACATGAGTTGACTACAAAGACTATAAAACTAACTGGGAAAGGAGCGTGCTTATATAGGTTAGGAAATTCGTGCTCATGGGTGCTCATCCTGATCACCTCTGATCACTGCTCATGAGTGCTCATCCTGATCACCTCTGATCACTACGTCGGGTTGTGCCGACTGTGGGTGCACTTCAGGGTCCATGCAGCCCCGCTCTCGGGCCCGTAACCTGGTGGTGCGGTTGGTACTGTAACATAATTACTTAATTAATATTCTAATAAAGAATTACTTTTAACTAATAAGATTATATTAGTAATAAAGAACTAAATAAGAAGAACAAGTTATTAAGACATATGAATAAGTAAAGAATCAGAATAAAACAAACAAGAAAGACAAAAACAGAACAACAAGAAACCAGATAATAAGTAATTAAGAAATAAAAAATTAAGAAATAAAGAACTAAAAAAAGAATATTAATTAAGAGATAAAAATAAAGACAAAAATAATAAAGATATGTGGACACTAAGTTTGTATTTTGTTAAGGCTGTTATGTGCTTCATTAGAAAGAGTACGTCTGTAGAATGCATTAATTCACGTTGTTAATCTTGATCATATCACTCTTCTAGGCCCGATTGTCCGTATCGGGCCTAACGAAGTTGTTGAGCTGTTTGAGTGACGTTTGACCTACGCGTTTTACATGCGTTTTGCATGCGTTTTGTTACAGATTTGATACGAGTTTCGCATGAGTTTCGCACAAGTTTTGCATGTATTCGTACGTATAAATACGCGCTCTGTACACTCATTTAGATAGAACAACTTGCTATTTGCACACTATTCTCCTGATTAGTCGGCAAGTTCGACAATTTCTTTTTGACGCGTTCAAAGTGTCAAGTGCTGATTCCTTCACCAATTATTACAGTTCATAAGTTTCCTGACCGTGAAGCTTCGGCTGAAGAAATACCATGGAGGATTTTCAACTAGTCTATTGTTGAACGTTGCTATTGCTCTGTGGAAGTGAGTTGAAATAGCAAGTTGTTCTATCTAAATGAGTGCGCAGAGCGCGTATTTATACGTACGAATACATCCAAAACTTGTGCGAAACTCAGGCGAAACGCGTATCAAATCTGTAACAGAACGCATGTAAAACGCATATAAAACGCATAGGTCAAACGTCACTCAAACAGTTTAACATCTATTGTACGAGTCTGCTGTGATTTCCAACTGGTAAGGCCTGATACGCTTATAATGCAAGTAGGGCAAGCCATCGATGCCGGTGCCTGTTAGCGCAGAAAGAGGGCTGTCCTGAGGCTGAGTGATGGAGAAAGCGCAGGCTGCCATCAAAGGCGGTCCTCCAACTACGGACAATTGCAATCAGCATGATCGAAGGTTTCCAATTCGGATTCATTTGCTTTACATGAACCAATTGGGAATTAGGAGCCCAGCATGAACAACCTCACACGACCAGTCCGCGCTCTGTCTCTCGGTGTGTCTTCTCCAGTTTTAGATGGTTCAAGCTGTTTAGTAAAATCTCGCAGATGGTGGCGGCATCAGAGGTCTTTCTGCCCTCCTGATACTTGCCGACATTATGGCTGGTATCAACATTGGACGTCCGCTGGGCCAGGAGTTGCAGCCCTGGCAGGCATTCGACATCATTGGAGGCACCAGTACCGGAGGGTACCTTGCCCCTGATCAATCCAAAATTTGTTTGACTCCAAGGCTGACCGACATCTTGCGGCATAGCATTATCGCCATCATGCTAGGTTGTCTTCGCATGACCATTCGCGAATGTCAAGACACCTATAAGTCGCTCTCCGAAGCGGTTTTTACCCCAAAAAGAGGGAAATACAACGGCTGGCGAGCAGTGGATTTTCTCAGGGCGAACGAGAAATTCGACTCGAAGATTCTGGAAGATGAGATCAAGAAAGTCATCGCCGAAAAACTTCAAAATGATGAAACCCTGTTGAGTCAGGCAAATGAGGATTGCAAGGTGTAAGTCTCGCCCCAGTTGCGCAAGAATGTCTTTATCATAGAGCTCGGTAGGTCAAGGAATGTCTTTGAGCATCAAGTCTAATGTCAGAAGATTCGTCTGTGCTGTCCACGAAGAGAACACATCGGCCGAATGCATCCGGTCTTACAAGCTGCCTGGCAAAGATGACCGATTGTCTGAAGAGTGCAAAATCTGGGAAGCCTGCCGTGCGACCTCAGCGGCGACAACCTTTTTCGCTCCTTGCACTATTGGACCGTTTGGCCAGAAATTTGTCGATGGTGGCATCAGACATAACAATCCGGTGAACCTGGTGGCAAAAGAGACGGCGAAACTCTGGCCGAACCGGGAAGTGCTACTCCTCAGTGTGGGAACGGGCGTTCCTCCAGATCTCCCGTTTCAAGGCAACCTAATAAGTATTGCAAAGCGACTGAAAGACATTGCTAATGAGACCGAAGAGGTTCACGAGTTATTCTATAACAGCCATAAAGAAATGGTCAGGAGCAAGCAGTACTTCCGATTCAATGTTCCGGGGATGGGTGGAATAGGTTTGGAGGAGTGGCAGGAGATACCACGGGTGGCCAGTGCAACTCAGAAGTACCTTAGCAGGGGCAACTCGGAAACAGACTTAGGCGAATGCGTTGATACTATTGTGCGAATTTCTCAAGGTATTACTTAGCCCTTATCAAGGACATCAAAGTCATTAGCCTTGAGTTAACAAGCTGTCCCACCATCGTTCGTCCTCGAAATTTGCCGCACCATGTGCCACTTTGCCGACATGATTTCATCAATGAGGCCAGAAATTTCTGCCGTTTGATATCACGCTTCATTGAACGCTAGCTAACAACTATCTCTTCCACCAGACCAATGCCGTTAGTCACTTCTCTACATAATATCTAGGGTACTACTCATACCAAGTAGTCTCGAAGGAGGCCCTCGAGCTTATTGACACGATTTCGCCCCTCACGTTTTCCGACAAGCACGATGAGCTGCTAAGTAAACGCACTGAGGGCACCGGCAATTGGTTCTTGGAGTCTCCCATCTTCACTACGTGGGCCAGTGCCTCCCAGAGCACTCTTTGGTGTCCTGGAATCCGTAAGTCATCTGCAACGTGCAGCATCTGAAACCTCTCATCTAGGATACTCTACATACACGAACTGACTGGCCATGCAGCTGGTGCTGGCAAGAGCGTAATGATGTACTTTCCCCGTAATGAAGGATGTCGTGCCAGAGTTCCGTTAATTCAAGACAGGTCTACTGCCGCTAACCAACTTTCCCAAGCTTATGAAACGGATCCACATGTCGGAATTGCTTGGATCTATTGCGACTACAAGGATGCGCAGACCTTGCAAACATCCGCTCGCTTCCTTCTTGCATTCTGGAAGCAATTAGTTCTTAAACGTGGCACCTTATCTGATGATGCCAAAGCCATATGTCAACAAACACGTGGCGGCCTTAGGGCTGAAGAAGCTCTCAGGCTGCTAGATTCCGAGTGTCGCAAAAATTCAAAGACCTTTCTCATGGTGGATGCCCTGGACGAGTGTACAGATCAGATTGATACACAAAATGAAATGGAGCAGGGCAAACCCAAGGAGAACTCTTCTGGGAAAATTGATGAAGCTTCAAACTGAGCTCAATGTCAATATCTTGATTACATCTCGCCTTGGAGCAGATATTTCTTCAAGCTTTCCACTTGCCCATATTCTGCCAATTCAGGCAACGAACGAAGATTTGCGGACATACATCGCACGACGCATATCAGACAGTGGCCGCTTTGTCATGGTCGTCAACCACTCCCCAAAGCTCGCCGAAGAAATAAAGACCACCGTGATTGAAAAGTCGGATGGAATGTAAGTCTCCATATTCCCCCCCCTTCCCTGAACCTTCCCAAGCGGCCAACAAGCAGAATGTCTTGATTGGCATTTATGCTCACATCACGAGCATCAGAGCGCATTTCATAAGCTGTGGACTGTACCACGGATCATAAAAAAACTGATTGCGAGTACATAGGTTCTTTTTAGCCAAGATGCACATGGACGAGATAGTAAAGACGCGAACTGCTCGTGCTGTCTACTCAGCACTTCACTCTTTGCCAAGTGGATGCAATGATTATTTTCAGGAGACGCTGAAGCGGATTGAGACTCAGGGGGACATTGATCGTAACCTTGCGTGCCGAGTATGGTCCTGGGTAGCTTATACTACCAGGAAACTGACCATACCAGAGATCGAGCAAGCTCTGGCTGTGGAAAAAGGTGACACGTGTCTCAACAAGGACGGCTACATTAATCCGGACCTCGCTGTGGAAACATGCGCGGGTTTGGTCGTATTGGGTAACAAGCTAGAAGGCTTGCAGCTTCCAGAGGGACAAGACCCACGGGGTTTGGAACTCGTCCACGCTTCGGCGAAAGATTTCTTCCAGCAACTCCCGGACGAAGAAGTGAGAAGAGCTCATTCCAGAATCGCGCAGGACTGCCTAACATACTTAACTTTTGAAGACTTTGCCACAGGCGTCTGTCAGACAGGGTACGAGGTCTGGTATCGACTCAAACAGTATCCATTCATGTGGTACGCTGCGCATCATTGGGCAATGCACTTCACTAAAAGTCAAGATCCAGAGCTCGTCGGCCTGGTGCTGACTCTCTTGAAGCAGTCAAATAAAGTGGCCGCACTTACACAATTCTTGATACAGCCTGAGGAAGCAATGCGCCTTGATTCGAAATACTGGTCATCATTTCAGAATTCGCCCTCATCTGTCTCTGGCCTCCACATTGCCGCCTACCTTGGCTTGGCTGAGGTCATAAGAACTCTTCTTCGTCAAGGAATTTCACATTCGGTAAGGGATTCAGAAGGATCCTCAGCATTGCATTGGGCTGTAAGAGGATCTCAGAAACAGACGATCCAGCTCCTACTAGAGGAGGGTATCGATAAAGACAGTGCCGACGACAAGGGAAATACAACCCTCTTTCTAGCATTGAAGTCAAGGGATGAGGAGGTGGTAGCAAATCTCGTCCATTGTGGGGCGGATGTGAAAGGCCAAGGTGGTTGTCCAAACAAGGCTCTGGCGCTTGCCGCAGAAGAAAATCTTTCGGACAGCTTCTGCCTTCTCCAAGAGGCAGGTGCGCGGATCTGGAGCGATGATAGCAACGTTGAACTCACTGAAGAAGAACTTGAGGCTCCTAATACCAAAGTGCTGGAGAACATATGCACATGGAAGATGAAACGTGCCCTACACCAGACTCTGACCAAAGAGCTGCGTTTTGCGCATAGCGATTCTGAAGAATTCTTATCCGCGCTTTGGCCACCAGAAGCAAGCAATCCGAAAAGTCGCGAACTCGATCTTCTCCGTGGTGCTTCAGAAGCCACATCAACCTTTGATCATGTCGAGTCAACTAATAGGAAGGCCGATAGTACGCCTCTCTTTTTCGCGATTGATCAATTCAGCAAATCTGAATGGCTTGAGAAGGAATACGTTTTTTTCTGCGCCGCTGCTTCTGCCGGGCACCAGCAATTATGTCGATGGCTACTGCAAAGAGGGAAGCCCTCTGCTTGTTCGCTAAGGAGAATCGATTTGCGCACGTGGACGGCGCTCCACCATGCTTCCGCTACGTCACACATAGCTTTCCAACTTCTCCTTCAGAACGGCGGAAATCCATTTGCTTACTCCAATGGTGGTGACAGCGGCTATGGCAACTCGATTCTGCACATAGCGGCATCAAAAGGACCGCTTTCTGTTATTGAAGCCGCGATTCGCGTCGGCATAGATGTAAACGTCAGACGAGTTACAGGTTTACAAATAAACTGGGTGGAGTATTGTCACACGCCACTTAACGAAGCCATACCGGACCAGAACAAGGTCAAATTCCTCCTGCAACAGGGAGCTGATGTTCACCTCAGAGGAGACGGGCGGGCGACCGTCTTGCATTTCGCAACGCAACATCCATTATCGCAGCTAGAACTCTTTGAATTATTCATCGATTTAGGCGTTAATGTTAATGCTAGAGACAGCTATGGGCGCACAGCCCTATTCATTGCTGCGACTCGGCGAACCGAGATCGCCATCGATGCATTGGTACGCGGTGGTGCTGATGCAAGCATCCCTAAATCTAACGGCATGACGCCATTGTACAGTCTCCTAGATGGTTGGGACCCTTCTGAGTTGTCTAAAGAGCGCATGTGCGGTATGGTAGAGAACCTTTTAAAAGCCAGGGCAGACGCGAAATCTGCCGAATCGTGCTACCCTTGCAATTCCATCCTCCACAAGGCAGCTTATGCTGGTGCGCACAGCGTTGTCCAGCTCCTCCTCGATGCAGGTGCTGATCCGGCTGCCGAAAACAGTTTAAAGAAAACGCCACTGGATACTGTCCTAATGAGACTGGACAAGTTAGATGATAATGATCCTCCATCTCTCAAACTTGGATTGGCCGCCACCTACAGGCTGTTAAGTGAAAGGACCTCGAAGTCAAGAATGGACGAACTTGGCGGGCTCCTGTCGGATATTCTTCATCTCAGCAGTCAGTCTACTGGAGGAGGCAACTACAACAGGACAGGAGCTTCGTGATCTGCTACAATATCGTTTAGGTGCTGTGAAATGGGTATAACCGAGAAGTAAATCGAAAGAAAGGTGTCTAGCTTCTCGTCACAGCATCGAATTTCCTCTAAGCGAGATCTAAGCTGGTATCCGGCTTGAAATGAAGGGTTGGAGCTAGCTAGACATTTCGAGCTCGAAAAATACAACTAGATACTGAACCTAAGCGATCCCAACCCGGCCCTGGCGACCCTATAGCGCCTCGTTCGTACATTTGGGCCGTGTCGTGAGGGTGTCTTAGAACGTTTTGATTGGCGCCCACATATCTGATCGAAAGTTGGCACTCATCACACCCTTCCCTTCATCAAACATAGCATCGTCTTCTGAGATCTTGGTCTCTGTCCTCTCACCTGTCCTCGGCTCCTGGTCCAGCATGATCCTGGCGTATGCTATAAACATGCACGGTGGTTTCCTCTCTCAGTCAGGTAAGTAGGCCGTGAAGACTAAAACTTCCATTTCCGGACCACGCGTTCTTTCATTGGCCGAAGTTCTCCCAGTACAAACTTGGTACTATCATCCACAACCCTCCCCCAAAAGAAGCATTTAATGGATACATCCAGATTGTCTTTTAGTTCAAACGATGAACCTCAGTCCTTTAACCACGTCATCCATCTAATAAGAGTAATCTTTCTTGAACACAGCGCTGGACTACAGTCTCCACGCCAAGTTAAACCCCATATTTATCCATACCGCGCGGATCTTCCCCCTCCCAGCTCAGCTCATGCAGGGAAACACAGATCGATGTGTTCATCAATCTGTAGGTACAGACCTCCACTGACTCCAGTAGAGCGAGGAACCGGCAGATGCCCATGGGAGAGGCTGGTCGACGGTTGAAGTAAGTTTGTCCGTGAGGTGTTGGGGAAAGGGGGGGGGAGAGACAAGACAGAAGGAGAACAAGGATTGGTGAGTGAGGATTGGTGGGTACAATTGAGAGAGGGACGAAAGAGAATTGGTGTCAAGGGGGAATGGGTAGAGGGCCAGAACAGAGGAGACCAAAGCTATAACAATACCATATATGAGAGAAACGGAGCTGGATATCGGGCATCAAGCTGTTGAATTACAAGAAAAAAGGTATTGAGCACAAGGCTCTACTGTTGTGACCTATCCAAGAACCAGAAGATGGATATGTGATTGTTGAAGAGAGGGACCCCACTGCATTCGAAGGTTCAGGATGATATCTGTGGCTTGAACATTCAGGTTGCGTAAGGATGCTAGACCATGGACTTGCTGATCTGTCTGATGCACAAGACCATCTGCATCAGCTTCGTAGCTCTATAATAGGCCTGCGAGATATTTCCTTAAAGCAAACGACAATATCATCCCAGGCGTATGCGTCGCTTAGTAGCCGGAAGAGTTGCAAAGCTATCCGAGTCCATCCAAGCCAGCCCAACCCGTTCGTAAGCCGTCTCATGTTGCTCGATCAGTAACAAAGTGCATGAACCAATGAAACGAGTGTAATGATACAGCAGAATGGCCTCAAATTCGATACCAGCTGGCCAGGGGGACGCTGGTCGCTCTGCCCAATATCCCTGGCAGATGGTAGCGGCCGGCCGGAGGAAGGGTTCGGTGTGCCATTTGTCAGGATGCCAAACTGAGTAGCGAGTCCCATTCCAGGTGATGCGAAGGCGCACAACAGTGTTTTCGAGCTGAATGACATGGGAACTCTCGTGTAGACACTTGGTTGGGGCTACCTTGAGAAGAGTGGACAGATCTCCTGCTCCATCCTCTGTCCAGAACTTAGCAAAGTCGTTAAAACTTGCCAGTTCTCTGTCCCAAGCGATGTATTCCTGCATCAGGACTCGAGCTCCTTTCCAACCTGCCCACGACCAGCTAGGAAAGTCGCGACACCTTGAATAGGAGCCCGTGGCGCTTCCAGGCTCCTGCTCATCAACTCCGTCGTGCCGTCCATCCCACCAAGTCTTATCCATTGCACCATGCCAGGCCAGACCAAATGCGAAACCAGCGTTCAAGTCAGAACTTGCTGCATATTCACTCTCGCATGGCTTGATCATTATGGGTACACCCCAGTAACTGAAATAGGCTGCTCTAGCCAAGATTCCACGAAATGCATTCAGCGCGTCCGAGGGATATGTTAGTTGGCGAGCTGTGTACTGCTCTACCCGAGACCAGAATTCGGTATTAGGTTTAGGTAATCGTTCTCCAAGGAAATTCCACTTCGGAGGCTCACGTGTTCTTCCCAGAAAAACAGAGCTTATCGCTCCCCTGTCTGTCTCTTTGGCATGCACGATCCCTAGTGAACCACCCACCGCTTCGCACTGGGTTCCAGCGCGGCAAACAAAGTAGACTTGAGACTTGGTAAAGAGTAAGCACCTCCGCGAGAGCACAAATTCCTGATATGTCCAGCCACGGGTCTTCCAACGAGAGGAGCTCAATGCGCTGCCGACATCCGAGAGGGTGGACACGTACCACTTGCCAGATATATATGCGCGTGGTTGGGGCCGCCTTGGGACATCGCTGACTCCCGGTATACCAGACTCTGCATCGTCCGACCCTGCAGCTGCCACAGTTACCGCTGCTCCCTCGTATATTTGGTGCATTCGCCCAAACAGACCATGCAGCTCATTGGCGTCTTCCTGATTGATGCAGTACTTATCGACCCAGAGGTACCGAAATCTCAGCTCGCGGACGATAGTCCTGGCATCCTGTATGAGCTTTGGGTATTCGCTTGGTTCCCGAGGCGATACATCCCTTCGGCTCACGCGCTGTTGCCCATCCCGATTCCCCCAAACGTAGCTGAGGGCAACGTACTCCATCTGGGGTTCGAGCGTAACGATGCTCCCATTGACACAGTCCATGACCTTCAAGTGAAGGTCTGCGGGGAGGTCCCCTTTTCCACAGCTCTTCAAATGATGGTTTTGCAATGGTCTATCCAACGCCTGAGCTGGATGTAGGCTGGTTGTGTAGGCAAGACGTGATGGCCTAGTAAAGACCATGGTTCTGAAGTGTTAGCTGTGGGCAGAGTTTGCGGTAAGATCATAGCGCTCGGTACGCTGTTATGGCTCTGGCTTTTTCCGAGATCCGATCTTGTCACTGCAAGGAAAATAGAAGGCTTCTCGGATGCACGAGCTTTTGTGATACGCTGCTTATGTCTCGTGAGCCTGGCCGCTCTCGCCAGTACGGACGGCTGCAAACAGGCGGCATAACTGACAGCTTTGTTTCTTCAATTCTGGTGCAATTTTCCCGAGAGATAATATCCGTTTGCCCTTGCTAGTTATCGGTCCTGAGTAGTTGAAGATCTGCTCCAGGTTGATGCCCTTGCATCTGTCGCACAGCCTGTCGCCTTCCATGCACCGTACTTGCGTAAGCGATATAGCAAAGCAACAATTGAAAACAACAAGCCGCCTGATAAATTCATATGTAGTACCTTGGTCATGTTCAGGAAGGTGATGGCAACAGCATAATGATAACAGGGCGAGGAGCCGAGAACCCAAGCACAGCCTATGGGGCAGTGCTCTGAGGCGAGCAGCAGCGGACACAGCCAAGTCCGCTGACCAGCCAACTTAGTACTCGTAATCGCTCGCGAAAAAGAGACCCAGCCACATCAAGCCTGTGTCACAGCACCACAACAAGAGGCCCCGTCAAGCTCTGTTGCGAGCGAAAAGATGTTAAAAGAGACTGTCAAAATCATTGTGGGCTAATTACGCCAAGCCCTTTTCAATACTATTACATAACTAATATGGAAGTATTTCAACTCGGACCATGTAGCAGCCTATCATGGGCCGTGAAGGGCTTCTTCAAGCAGTTTTATACAGAGGCTCATAATAATACGTAACGAAACGATAATGAAGATCTATCAGGAAAATAGTGGTACAGCCCTGTGCACGGATTGGGGTTACGTTGACAGGAGGAGGATATATCCTGTTGAATCAAAGGATTGATCTTTTCTTTTTCACCAGCTAGAGGAGTGGAGGACGCCCCCAAGTATCCTTTGGGTTAACGCATCTGTGGCGCTATGTCAATTAATTAGCGATGAACCGTTATGGTCAAGCTCATGAAAATGTACGGAAGCCTACTTGAAATTATCTACTTCGCAGATGTTTTCCTTTGCCTGTCCCATAGCCTGCGCAAGCGACATCACATCCTTCTTACAGCCGAAGCATAGAGATCCATGCTAACACTGATAACAAAATTCCTCTACCCGGGATACATAGCCTACGGTATCACCGAGATCAAACTTCCCGGTCCTAGCACTCTTAGTCTTCCTCTCTTCTTCATCCTCTGCATTCCATCTCTACGTCGCGGTATGAATCTTTTCTGTACGCTCAGTATGCACATTCATGTACCATCTCCTCTTAGTACAACCAGCTACCTGATCCTTAGTACCCACCGGATGTACTATCTCTGCCTCAAACCAGGTATATCTCCCTTCATGCGTCCCGTGAGATTGCGGGTAGGAATTCCAACTTTGATCATGGCTCGTTACGGTAAATTCGACCTTGCGTAGGACAGTCGCGTTGATTATTTCGATGTCGAGGTAGGGCTTGCCGGCCTGGTACCGGGTATACGATTGGGGATCATGTCGATCACAGGAAGTTTGGATCCAGTATTTGACGAGATCGAGGATGAGGGGACTAGATATAAGACAAGACGTTGGTGAAGGAGGAAGGTAACATGGTAGATTTCGTGGGCGTTGTGCGGGTGGTAGATTGTCTGGGGCTTGCGCTGACGGAACGGGAGGGGTGGAGAAGCTATTCTGGGAGCTGGTCGTGCAGGAGGTTGTTCAATTGCGAGGAAGTTTAAAGGGCGCGTGACGGAGACAGCGGGAAGAAGCTTCTCCTTGTCCTCGCTTTACATCAAAGCTTGAACGTCGACGAAAGTGCCCATCACTCGGTCATATGGGCACAAGCTATCAACTTGGAAGACGTGAGATGCCGCGGTTGTTCGTGGTTGTTTGTACGTACTGGTAGGCTTAACCCCATAGTAGAGCCTAATGAACAGGCTAACGCCTTGACAATTGGCTGTAACTAATGCTCAGTTGAAAGGGGTCTGAACCTCGACCGGCAAGTGTGATTGGATAGTTAGAGCTGCAAGCATGGCGCGGAGACTTGCACGAGCCGCCCTTCCGCTTGAGGCAAATAGCGTCCTCCGCCATACCGATGATTGTGTTTTGTCATTTCCTGGGTAACTAAAAATTCAATGTGGTGGCCGCCACAGGAGAGTTTATTGAAACTGACACACGACTACGCTGGAAGAAGAATGGAGACTTGGCTCAAGTGCTTCCCAAAAGACGTAATTTGGGGGCCAGAGGGCCACAATTCATTGTCACAGCAGGCTTGGCTTGTGAGTAAGCCACGGGCGTCAAATCACAGGCCGGAGGGCCAAAATTCGGTCAGAATATCGAAACTTGCTGCTCATTGGACGGAGAGTGGTCCATTTTGAGCATCAACCCCTGAATTCTGCTCGCAAAACTGTATAGCTTGGTGGTTTATGCCATAGCTATCTATTTATACCTCGTTTACTGTTTAGGCAGTTCACAATTGACGAGCGACCAGACAGAAATGGGACATCCAGAACCACTCTCAGCCCACCAGAGCTGGATACCACATCTGACCGATATGCATATCTTGAGCGCGAGGACAAAGACTATTGATCTCTGACTTGGCAGCGTCAATCTCTTGACTGGTCTCACGTAGAATTCCCCTGACTATTCTTTCGTTCAAGAGTTAGAGCGGGGTATAATTGAGATGAAGGTAGTCGCATTGCCAGAACTCCGAAGAGGTAAGTGATATACATATTGTTGTATATTTCGACCGCTTCACTACAATTTTCTCCCTGGCTTGCAATATTTATCAGGCGTCTCAAGCTTACACAGTTTCGACTTGGTCGCCAATTTTTGGAAGCTATAACGCCGACGCCTACTATGACTTCGTTCTTACCATGGAGTTGGACAATCACTTCTACCGATCCTTCACTGCAGCCTTGTCCATCCGCCTCCTCGATCTTAGCGACCTTTGCCGCTGTCAACGCTGTGGCCAGTGCCCTCGCTATCATATTCGGCCATCAATCAGTTATCAGCCGGATAAGCTGCAAGATGTGTGGGGGAGACTCCGGGTCGAAAGCATGGCGATACATGTGGATTGTCCCTCTTGGTCTACAGCTCGCTGCCAACGCAGTCATAGCACTTCTGATTAAGAGGACGGCAGGTTTCCGGGCCGACTTTGCCATTTGGGAGCTTGTACTCTTCTTTGCTGCTCGGCCACGACTTTCCTGGATAACCCTGGGTCTGTTCGCTGTCAAGTCTAGGAAGAAGTCTGGGACAAGAGATTTTCCATGGTGGCCATCGTTCATGTCACAGTTCGTCGCTGAGCTCATACTACAATTGATCGCATTATATATCATGGGTCGTACAGCACATTTCGCTGCTAGTCGAGGCTTTTATCTCGTCCACACCGATCTATATCGCTCGTTGCCTTCAGGCGCACGTATGATGTATTCAGGCGCGCTCTACTACCTCATCGTGGGCACCTTCGCTTGGTTCTCAGCTTTTGGCTTGATCAGCAAAGCTCGCTCGCCCACGCGCTTCGCGAAGGAAGCTTCCGAAGAGGGCGATTCTACAGACACCAATGCAAGCTCACCCATGCTCAACTGGAAGGCGGGTTCTAAAGTAGCCACTGGTTCGGTCATCACTGCTCTCATTTTTTCTCTCACCTCCGTTTGGTTGGCTAGCTGGATATTCTGGGCTGGATTTGTACGCTTAGCGGACGACTCGTGAGATCCCTTAGGCTATATTCCTGACTATTCTACAAAGCTTACCCAAGTACAGATACTGCCCGCCAAGGCTTATCGATCAAGGGATCATTTGGACAACATTCTCGGCTCTCGGAGTTATCTTTGGTGGAGGTGGTATGTAAATTTCCTTTGAGCAAAGGAAAGCTTGCAAGTAGAGAAGGGCTGGAAGCTGGTGAACATGTTACCCTTTGCAACACACTTCAATGTACGATTACTTGATATCAATCCAAACAATCACTATTATGTGAAACCAAGACTCATTATTTCATCTATGTGAGCCCTGGCCATGGTTATCGAACATGGACACAGTTTGGCAGACTGGAATCCGTATAACCAGACAAATTATAATCACAAAAGGAAAATTAATAGTGAAAAGATCAAGGGAGGGTCGTAATATTTCATTAAGACTTATACTGTGGAGTATGCGAATGTTTGGTTGTTTGGTTTACCCTTCACGAACGTTAAAGTCTGACTGGCGGGAACGAGGTCTCATAATCTACCCTATAGATAGATGGTGAAGTGAGATGGTACTCTCCGGTTCGACCTTTTCTTCTGCTTCCCCATCCAGAGTATCAGACTTCAGACGCTTGGTCATTGGAGTTTGGAGACTTAGGACATATCGGTTGGCTTTCTTGTGGAGTCAAGCTCTGGATTGACCGACCGGGTTGGAAGTCCCAAACCGCTGCTCGCGGGCGCACTGGTGTTAGAGTGGAACGCCTCCTGTACAGAAATAGCTGGAAAGTGCCGTGTGCGCTCAAATCGATCCATGATCTGATACCATATCAGTTTGCTCGTCTCACCAGAAGACAAAGATTACTGACCTCCCCCCAAATACCGCGAGTTCATTTGGCAGTAATTGTGGCCCAGTCTACCTCCGTGTGCGGTTTCGGTTCACGAACAGTATCAAAGAGGATCTGTTCAGATGGAGAGAGCTTGATCCGCTGTACTCAATTAACGCAGCACACATCTGGATGGTTCTAAGATCTGACCGAACATTTGCTCAAGTCTGAAACAGTTTGGCGACACCAAAGAGCGTTAAACATAGACTATTTCAAGCAATTTCGTACAGGTGAAGGAAAAGCAGAGTAGTGTTTGCGCAGTTGATTGCAGGTACATTCATCGAATATTGTCTCAGGCATGAACTGGAGCTTTCGGAAAGAGGCTACTAAACTGGATCATGGTAGATTCTATTCTGCTGGCCTAGCAAAGATAAGCGAAAGCTGCCGGCTGTAGTACTTGATGACCCGATCCTCGCACACATACTTGGACATTGAGCGAGCATCCTCATCTCGATAGCAATGGCTATGCAAAGTCCCACAATTGTCCATTGATTGCCTTGTCCCTTGTCCAACCCTGGCACATTCTGGCCTCAGCGATTGATGGTCCATAGTCGAGCTCTTCCGGGAGCATCGTCGACTGGTCGAGTGGCTCTTCGTCGATGGTCAAATAAATCCTAGCTACAATGGCAAGTTCATTGTCGTGTGAACCCCCTTCGGCCAGCCTTTCTGGGTAGTCAATGAAGATGGGTCTGTGATATTGCCCGCGTGCGGTGTTGACGATAAGTACACGCTTTAGGGGCATGGCTGTCAAAAGACTTGACGTCAAAGCGTCTTGCTTCCCTTCCGGACGAGTAAGAACGAGGACCTCAAGATTCTGCGGAAGCCGTGGAGGGCGCGGAGGAGGACCCATTGGTTTTGCCCTCGTCAACGGACCCTGCTCTATTGGAGACAAATTTAAGGCCAAAATGGGCTCGAGGACTTGCTTTAAACTACAAGGTACCAAGAGTCATAGAGGTTACGCCACGACTTACTTCTGTTATCGCTTTTGTGCCATCCATATCCTATATTTGAAAACAACTTTCTAGATCGTCCGGCATGGCCCATCTGCTGCAGTGTAATTCTTGATAACATGGTTGCAATGGAAAGGCAAGTAGACGGTAGGAAAAGGGTTCTAAATTCATGGCAATCATAACACGAGATTTGGTTGCAGAAGAGCTGAAATGTGTGCAATGCTATTAAAAGTCTCCAGTTTTGGGAATGCGTCACTGAATGCATGCAGCGGCCGCTGCGTTAGTACTAAGACTAACTGTTGGACCAAAAGGACCGCGGCCCTCAGAGGACCGTTTACTAGCTTTTGTCTGACACTAACTCATTGACAATCTTAACTTAAATACTTAGTAATATTAAGTAGTATTAAGTATGTCAACGCAACGAGGCCACCATATACAGCTCTCAGTACGACTGAAAACTGTATTGGTAAATAGCCTCCACCAATGGTTTCCTAGTCTCCGCTTTATCAAACAATTGAGCATGATCCAGTGTTCTAAACCAGATGAGGTCCACGCCTTTTCCTCTCCATTTCCGATCCTGCCACCCTACGCGGAGGCGCCCGTTAGAAACATTCTTATCGACAGTCTTTGAGGAGGGTGGCCCTGAGATATCAGTGTTGGCATTTCCATTCGATCTCGGATGCAAAGTGGTGGATCCTACACCATTTTCTGATATCACTTCCATATGAATATCGCCGCTGGTAGTATCGCTTGCGGATCCTTCCTTGCGTGCTGCTGTCTCCTCATCATAGGTCGCAAGATAATTCCTAACGGCTTTGGTATTCACGATGAGATCCCGCTCTGCAAGACTCACAGTGATAGCACGCTCACCGATATCTTGTTTCCATAGAACGTTTTCTGACCAGAAGAAGCATCGCGATAGGCTATGAGAAACTCCCATGTCCATGCTTCCGAAGTAGTAAAGCTGGTGTTCGTTTGCTCGTTGTGGCTTACGGTGAGTGAAATTGTAAGCCACGTCTAGGAGATGTAACAAGATCGAGATGGGATCAATGAGCACGACAGGACCAATCTGATTAGCCAATTTTGGCGATTTCAATAGTTGGGTACTGATAAGAGTTCTATAAGAATGTGAGACGAGGACAGGCTTATCAAATTCATGGTATTTGAGGATTACTTGGATCTTGTTACACATCTCGTCCTTCGTCATTGCTGAGTGTGTTATACGGAAGCTGACCGGCATGAGCTCAATAGCGATAATTCCTACCTGGTCATAGGCGCTACGCCTGGTATTAAGATGGAAATCTAGCTAGACTAGAAAGTTAACATAGGGATAGAGACCAATCCTAATACCATGGACGAACACGACTGGTCTTCGGGTCTGTAATGTATGCGGGCGATGCTAGTATATAAGTCGTTTAGCGGGAGAACGTTTAGTCATAAAAAGTGTAAACGGTCATACTGGGAAGATCATGAAGAAGTAAGGCAATGCAGTTCTGCGAAATGCGAAGCCATAGAAATGTAAGCGCAAGCAAGTCAAGAAGTTGACGAATCTAATATACTGTCATCATCAGGAACTGAGCAAATTAATAGTCGTGCGAACTTACAACATACCACAGTATACTGCGATGAGTCATATTTACACTATCAATTATAAGCCGTAAGCAAATAGCACTGCTATAGTCTTCCAGTATCTTCCTGCTTAGGAGAGTCTCGGTAGCAGCCACATATTCTTCAAGTTCATCATCATCCTCCCCTAAGGGTCCATCCCTATTAAAAAAAGCCTATAGAAAGAATTCCTTGATGTTGTCTCTCTTGATTTCATCCGTCGTTGCACCCAAGAACCACTTCTTGAAATATGCTTCTGGATCAGGGATATTGCTGTTGCAGAGTTCGAACAGCTTCTTCCTTTCGTTTCGTGATGGTGCTGCCGGGTGCACTGCTTCGTATTGAAGTTTCTGTCGATAGATGAAATTGACGAAGATATAGAAGACGACTTCAGCGAGGGTCCAGACCCTGAACGGCAAGGGAGCCTCGATAGGTACTAGAGAGTTCATCACTTGAGAAACAACCCATGCTGAGCAATAAATGATACTCAAGGGCGCAACGCTTTGCAGGCCAATGATGCATGCTCGAATGAAGATGTATTCAAGTAGAGAAGTTCCGATCATGCTTGACGTGCTTGTCTTCCCGTTAATCGTAGATGTATGCACACTGGCAACGGAAGACGAGTGCACCTTTGTAGGAACTGCATTTGTGGCAAGGTATCAAGATTCTACTCAACAAAAATTCCCTGCACGTCGGAATTGGCTATTTCAGCGAGTGCAGTAAGTCCCAACAACTGATATGGAAATGCAGCTTCCCTGGATACTGGGATTTGCATGTGCTTGCCATACTAACTCTGCAGAAGGGTTGCGGTCCGTTGAATAATCAATGCCAAGCACTTATTAAACCTCTTCAGATTCTTAGAATTCATAGAATTTATGAGAAGGGGAAACGGAAGTAGATAGAGATCAACTAAGAATAGTCAGAATCAATAGAGTAGAAGTGTCTTACTGATTGTGTTGAATTGCTTGCTTATTCTTGCTATCTAGGGAGCATCTAGTCTGTTATATAGACTATCGTCAAGGAGCAAGAAGAAGGGGTAAAACAGTTATGATACTGTTCAATGCCAACTGGAACATAGATGAGAGCATATGCGTAATAGATCCGTTGCACAATGCCCTCACAATAGCATGTTTGCACATCTGAACTCCCGTTGTGTTCCAGTTGATCCTGCTACCAAGCTTTAACTAGCGTGCTTGGCTGCAGCATCTTGTGTAACACAGAGCCTCCGGGGGACTTGGCCTTTAGTGGAACTTGGCCACCAACCAAGTTATGACGTAGCTTAGCTTTCACAGAATTAGTAATGTATATAAAATGCTGAGATAAGATGCGTGGAAAGAGTCCTTAACAAGCTGCATGCATGCCTGGCGAACTGCAGTTTTTTGATGCCAACAAAAGTGGTCAAAGCTTCATAGGCACGGAGTTCTGAAGAGCATGCACCCATGTAAGCGCTTGAGAAAGCCACAGTAACTATGCAGCTCATAACTAACCAGTCTCATTCTACCTTAGGCTGTGGATGTGATGCGGGCCTCACTGTCACGTTCGGTAGCTTAGCTTCGCTTGCTCCTAGGGCATGCTCCATACATGATACTCAGTCTTAGGACGGGAAAGGCCAAAGCCTTCATAGAAGCCCGACGTATTTAGAAGCGCTTCTACTTCACTATCAGCCCAAGCACCCTTTCATTGCTCATAATCACTTGTGAGCTATTCTGCATCCAAGGACTTAGTTGCTGGAGAATGAGGTACCAACTAGCAGTATTCACTCATCATCTCCCGCCTCTGAAGTAGGCGGCGTTGAGAATTCTGAATCAGAAGCTATCCCCGATTCAGAGCACTCAGTAGTGTCGATGCCATGCTCTTGACTTGGACTAAAGTGTAGAGATACGGCTGGAGGAGAAGAAGCCACGCGTGTATCAGCAGGGAGTGGGTTGTTTGGTAAGATTGTCCTGGGTCCAGCAGCAGGTACAGAGACAGCTTTGGGAGATACTGTTGTGGTCCCAGCAGAGCCATGCCCATGTTCTCTTTCGTACTTCTCAATCTGTAAAACCTCAACTCCATATGTTTTAAATATTGCCTTGAGTCCACCGGCCATTGGCACAGCTGGTGCATCATGTTTCTTCCATAAATGACTGTTGAGACCAGTGACAGTCTTGTGGCCAATCTTCATGCAATGATCAAAATTGCACCTCAAATACATTTTCTTCTTGCCAGCCACAGGAGCAGCCTCGTTCGGCACCCCCGGACCCAAATATGTCCAAATTCCCCGGCCGAGATTATCGGTATATGCACAGGTGTGACGACGCTTCCTTGTCGGACTGTTAACCGCCGGATGAATTGGCGAATGGTCCACACCCGCGTCGAATACTATCTCATTGGAGGGTCTGCTGGCACGTGGACTCCCACGGGTCCCTTTCTCAGCCATTGTGCCAGCAAAACCAAGTCCATGTTTCTTCTCATGATCTTCAATATCTTGGACCGGAACTCCATATTTCTCAAGCGCTAGCTCGAGACTGTCGATGGTCCCTCTAGGTATACCATGGTGCTTGACAATATGACTCTTTAGACCCTGAACAGTCTTCCAGTCAATCCTCATACAGTCGTCATGGTTACATCGTAGGTACATCTCCTTCCCAGCCACGGTTGGCGCCTCTTTCGTTCCTCCAGGACCAAAATACGTCCAAATACCACGATCAAGTTCATCGGTACGTTCACAATAGTGATAACGATTAGCAAAGGTTTCGGATCGGGAGTATGAATGGGTAATGAATGCCTTCGGCTTTCCACTGAGGGTTGAAGTTGAAGCTGTTGGACTGTTGACCGGCGGGTGAGATCCAACCGCTTCAAGTGCAAGAGCCTGAGCTTTGGCTGACGACTGATGTCCACGTCTTGGTTGCGAGGCTGGTTGAATTGGTGTCCTTATGGTCTGTCTAGGAGGTGGATTGACGGATGGAGAGCCTAAAAGCGGTGCGTTGATAGAGTAGAGCTTGATGTGGCTGAAGGAGGGCGAACATTATAGTCTGATGAACCTAATGGTGGAGGTGGTGGTGGCGGTGGTGCGGGCGTCGGAGCTTGCTGACGAGGTGACTGAGCGTGAGAAAGTGGTGTAGTCTGTTTAGGAGATGGACCATATTCAGGAGGTGGGGCAGGAGGATTAAATGAAGGCTGCCCGCCATTTGGCAACGGAGATGGTTGTAACTGATTATGCTGTGGTGGATGGGCTTGATTCTGCGGTGCATAGGTCTCGCCGGGCCCATATGCATTCCAACCGTAATAGGAAGGTTTTGGCTGTTTATCTTGCTGCGTAGGTTGCAAAGGCTGCATCGCGTTGGGTCTTGACGGCGGATTCAACGCCGGCATTGGTGCAGGATTAGGTTGATGCTTCTTCGCTGGTGGATACATGGATTCTGATACCGTGCTGGCATGATGGTTTTCTGTCATCTTCTCATCCACGGGAAGCCCTCGTTTGAGATTCTTGAGTTTGCGTCGAAGTTCATCCTCCTCGTGATCGTGCGCCTCTTCCTTTTGCTGATACTCCGCGTCTTCTCTTTCTCTTCGCTTTCGGATGCTTGCATCCTCCAGCTCACGTTCAGCATTTAGCTTCTTCTTTCCGGTGACCAATATATCATCGGCAGCATCCAACTCGGCAAGACGTTGCTTGATTGCACTTAGAATATTTGACTGAAGAGCATGTTTGGTATCAGGAGTTGACGTGTTGCAAGAACTCGCAGATACGTCACTATCCGACTGTCTCACTTTGACTCCGTCCATGTTTGGGCATTCTTGTATGTGTGGACACCTCTTGTGCGGGCATCAAAAATTCATAAAAGCAGCAGAGTTCTGCAAAACTGAAAAGTGAGTCTAGGAGGGACAGTTGAAGGAATGAATGCATTCGTCGGAGGGGACCAGCCTTCTGCTCCAATAGATAAGCAGCTGATGGAAGCGCGTCGTTTTCGCGATACCGACATTCACCTATACGTGAAGCAGGAAACCTGCTACATGAGTGGCTAGCAATAATAAAAAGAGCGTATATCGCCTAACAGCTTCATAAGAGAGTCTAAACACAAACAAAATATGTACAGGCTGGAAACTCTCGAAATGTTGTTAGCTGTTTCACAAAAAGAAAGGGACTGGTAGTGGTTGGAAGCTACTACGTATTCCTTTAGTGCAGCAGGGGTGTCGACGACCACAAGAATCGTGATACCCTATTCTCACAACAACTGACGGTGCTCGCACTTTGCACGTCTCGTTGGGACTAGGGAATGAGGGTCAGCGACATACTACGTATGCTTAGGGGATCATGCCTCATGTCCGGGTTCGGCGGCCCACTACAGCGGCGGCCGTTGCAGCGCGCTAGCAGGTGGCGCTCCTCTTTGAGCGGTATTACAACAGCGTTCGCCTCTTTGCCTTCTTGTACATCTCTTCGATGGTGATCGGGTGATGGAACGGTTCCACTGGCAAGATTGAGTGAGCCATAACAGCAAGCCCTCGCTAACGCTGACTGTTCAAGGAGGATTGACCATGTTCCACAATGGTTGGTCGATTGGAGAAGTTGTCGAAACTGGCCTTCAAACGTCGGAAAGTATTAGATATCCCCGTACTCTCGCAGTTCTGCAAAGAGCCGAGCGACAGTAACACGGAAGGATCGACATCAATCAAACGCAACACAAAATCAGAATGCACAAAATGGGTTAGGAGGACAGAGTGATCAGGCTCATTTCAGTTCGCTGTGAATCGCGTTTGCGGATGTCAACGAGGGATTTGCGATGGAGTTCGAATTGGACAGATTCCATGCTTGTTAGGGTTTGGAAGGAGAGGAGTTTGCGACGCCAGTTTGTGCGTGTTTGGCGGTAGTTGGCGGTCGGATAACATGGGGAGGGATTGTGTGAGGTCGAGTTGGAGGAGGCTAGTGGCGAATCTGCTGATGCTTATGCTTTCCTGGTCTGCTGCTTGAGTTGAGGGACCCTGATCGTCCTTTTGCATGTCAACCCACGCCCGCTCAGGGATAACGACCTGGTCGTCTGAGTAGGTTGCGGAAGCATCCTTCTATCCCAACGTATACTGGTTGAGAGGTGCCTTCAGTTGTGCGAAGATGAGATGAAACGATTATCCGATAGGCTGAACCAGTTGAAAGATCAGTCACACTCTGATAGTTTCAATCAGAAGCTTCGAATACAGGCACAGAAGCTTGCATACCCATTCAAGCAGGGCAACTTACGTCGTCTCGAAGATAGTGTAGTGAAAATTAACGCCATCTTATCGACCGCACTACAAGCAGGGGAATTGTTCGTCACGATCCATCAACTTCTCCATCCACTCGCGTTTCGGATCCATCTCGAGCTCCAGTATCCCCTTGATGTTAGAAAACCATACATCGATCGGCATCGTATAGCCTTTTTTACGCATGAAATTCAGTAGCTCCTCCCTGTCATCTGCAGCGTAATCTTCCGCACTCTGGTGATAGAAACGTTTGTGCATTTGCGAGCCTCGGTATTTCATAAGAATAGGAACTTCCGCAAAATGTCTCGATCTGGACGAGTAATCCATACCTTCCGCTTCCCTTTTTCAAACGTTTTGCGGATCGTATTGATTACTCTCCGTGCATCGCGACAGGGATTGGCCTCTGGCAGCTCGTCATCGCTCCCTACTCAGGCCTAGTGATCACGCCGTAGCTGCTCCTCCTCCATAGCTCCTCCTGCCGTGGTTGTCCTTCTCTTCGGACCCGCGTAGGTCCACTATCAAAGGTGGCATAAGCAACATTTCTTCACTCCAGATCGACCTTCCACACGATGCCTTCGACTCCTGACCTTTCTCGTGAGCTTATAGCCAATCCCCCGTCTACGCGTAACCACGCCTGGAAGCGCCGAGCAGTTGGTCACACACAATCGGATGTCACAGATCGCATGATAGAGAAGCGAAACCTGGCTGATCTCTCGAAACGCTTTTCGTATTCCGGCAGCCCCGCGCCTCGTGACCGCCTGAGAGCAACACTGCAAGGGTACCGGATATTCACCTGTAACGCCACTATGTGTGAAAAGCCGGTTAGAGCTATGACTCTGTAAAGATGATTGGATTACGGGAGTATGATTGCGCTAGCTTGCCCTGCATAAACTTCCAATTAAGAAACCGTCCGGGTTTGAGGCCATCGTCCAAGATAACGAGGTCAGAGCAGTGAAGTGGATCTCGACACAGCCCCCGCGAGGCATTTCACTTATTGGCTCTATCAGGCGCCCGTACAAGGCTCCTGACCGCTCGAAACTTGGATTCCGACAATTGGAGAAAACGAGCAAGGCAGATCTCGAGGCGGCCCCGTTGAGATGTTTTTCCTATTGGCTCTATCGCATCCTCAGCTGGACCGGGGATCTCATGCAGCCCTCATCCGAATCCGCCATCGAGGCAGACTCCAATTCGAGCGGCTTCCAATTGGACATGAAGGCATTCTCGGGGTGACGTGGCGCGCCACCCATCTCCTGCATGTCTCACCGGATACGTTCTAGACCTGCTTTGTCGCCGCTGCGCCTCTCGAGTGACGTGGCCGGCACTGCGGCATTTTCACTATTGGTCCAGTCGCAGCGTCATGTCAGCCGACACAGGATCTCCGAGGGTCGACACGTCACGATCATCGAGGAAGAGGGGGCCAGGCCGCTGACGCGGGATGCCGCTATGCTGTTGCCGGTGCCTCAAGCAAGGGAGGTGTTGGTCGAGGGGTCGATGAAGAGGTGAGATTCCAAGGGCAGGATGCCGATGGGGGGCCTGTCACATGAACCGCCAGCCACCAAGTCTGGTAGAGCGGGCTGTGCATCGAATCGCCGTCGAGAGCCAGGCCAACAGTTGGATCAACCGGCAGGGGGGAGCGTCGAATAAGAGCACGAAGGTGGAAAGGGAGGGTCGGTTAGAGGCAGGAAGCCAGTCAGTAGCCTGGCGCTGTGACGCTGCGGAGCCCGGAAGCGGCGGCACAGCAA